TTTCGAATACGAATCGAGTCTGCAGTCGATTCACGTCCCACGACACGTCGGTACGTGGAAAAATAAAAGTCTGAAATTCTTCGAAATCACTCGAAATATAAATTGCTGAAATACTTTTTGACATCTATTGTCGATGGCACAGCAATAAAAAATGGTCCATTCAAAAATGAAAGACTGTTTCCGCGTAATAGAACACCAACAAAGCCCTACGATGTACAACACAAAAAAAAGATCGTTGAAAACAACTCGTTGCGTTTTCACAAAAATTTCGCGAAAAAAATCGTGTGGAAACCTTAATCGGAATTGCTTCTACGACTATTGGGAAAGTTTCCGTTCGTTAAAACTTGAGCTGCTGAAACATTGAACGAACAGACTCTGGTATTCCGTTTAACGAAGCTAATCCTCAAACTGGCTCTTTCATTCAACTAAAAGTTTTTTTGTCGGTATCGTTCATTAAGTTCTTGTATAATTTCCAAATAGATTCTCATATTTCACAGGATTATCCAAAAACTTTTCATGAAAGAAAAAAACAAACGTTAAATCCCGCTGGAAAACTGATTAAGACATATCATCCATAATTGATAGCTTTATTTTTGCAAAATCCTTTTAATCTTTTTCCGGGTATAAGCGGTCTAATAAATCCTTCCTTTGTTGGCATAGCTCTATTTTTCGTTGGAGAATAATGTTAAGCATGAAGTAGAAATATGAGTTCTTTTGTATCTAGATAAAACCATTCGTCATTTTTGTCTCCGGGAATTTTGCCAATGTCATGTTATTTGAAACAATGAGAAAATGTCCTTCGACCAATACGAACGGTGGAAAAGATAACAAAAAGATTTTTTTGTCCTTCGAAAAACGGTTATTTACTTGACATTGAGTGGCGCGCTTTCTTTTACCGACCACAATATCTCATTTGCGCCGAACAATGGTACAAAGCGGGGTTGGTGGAGAGGTGAAACGTCTTTTCCAGTTCTTTACGTACAATGATTTATTAACAACGAAGAATTTTATTTTTACCAAAATTAATTCTAAAACTTACAACCCCCTCTTTTGTCCTTGGATACCGGAACGAGCTTTTGATGTATCAGTATTTCGCTTGGATGAACTTCAACAGCTCAAACAAGGTCAATAGTATCCCACACACGATCGCGGTTTTCGCTTTTGTGTGTGTACATGTGTCCATAAACCCGCGATACCGATCAAGGGACCTTAATCGATATGTAAACACGCACGCTGTACGTCTCGTTGCCTTCGACCTTCAGACCGTCACGTAAAATCGACGTTTACATTAATAACGTTTCAGCACGAAACGACACCCCAACAATATCGAACGGCATCGGAATATAAAAATTAAAATTAAGTATTGTCAATAATCCACAGCTGCTAATTACCCACGAGTTTTAACTTGCACAAACATCAAATTTCCATTATTTTGCACCAACGCGACGTAACCACTCCTCTAATGGCTTGCTGACGTCAGAACAAACGTTGGGATGCGTATTATGTATATTGGATGATGACTATGTAATGGGGTTTTGATGGTATTGCTTGCACAAATGTGTATACACTAACTAACTTGATACAATTATGCACTTGAAGTTGCTAATCTATTATTAGTGGTTATCCATAAATTGTTTCTAATATTATTTTGATTATGAAAAGAATCTATTTAACCAAATAAATCTTTTTCATTCTTCGTAGTTTTTGAATTTAACAATTTTTTTCTTATCATGTTGAGAATCAGCCCAAATGATATGATTAAAAAGAATTTAACTTAAAATACATCCTAGTCTTTTCTAATTGTACCTTCAAACCTTAATTGTTTAGTGTTAGGAAGACATCCCACAACAATAGACGATAAATCCAAACCAACCCAACCCAACAAATTGCAAAAAGTCCTCGGGGAATATAATCTCTGCAAGAAGTTCTAAAGTTGGGTTGGTTTCTTAATTTCGAAGTAAATCAACGCATTCTTAAAATAATTGTAACTAATGAATTTATATGATCTAAAGCAGTGACCTTTTGAACTGGACGTGTCAAAATTTTCAAAACTCTTAATAAACAATATGCTGCCGTGTCATATATAAAAATTTTAATAAGTATTTGGTATTTTCAGATAAAAAAGGATTTATTGTTTGCAGTATTTAACCCAAAGAATAACATCTCATAGTAATACGTTGAAGAATATATTGTTAATAACGCCATTGCTAGATTATTTATGTTACTAAATCTTACTGTCAGATAATCTGTTCCAAACATTCAAAATTTCCTGTTCGTAGTTGCCCTCTTCTTCATTATTTAAACGATTCCGCTCCAAATTTTCAAGCTTCGCTCTTAACTCAACGAATATATGACTTTCTTGAAATTCTACCAGTTCCATTTCTAAATTTTCAATTTCCAACCATTGGAAATCATTTAAATCCAATGTATTGTAAGCCTGAAGGGGTAGGAGCAGGAGTATACTGCCAGACACCTCGAATTAAGCAAGCCTACAGCCTGGGTACGTACTGTACTATATCCCAGGCGGAAGTATTTGCTATTGACATGGGTGCTAAAATCCTTCTTGAAAGAGGAGTGAAGAACATGACAGTACGAATTTTCTCNATGATTAAAAAGAATTTAACTTAAAATACATCCTAGTCTTTTCTAATTGTACCTTCAAACCTTAATTGTTTAGTGTTAGGAAGACATCCCACAACAATAGACGATAAATCCAAACCAACCCAACCCAACAAATTGCAAAAAGTCCTCGGGGAATCTAATCTCAGCACTCAATGAAGAACTTTAATTTGATGTATGATTCGTTTTTTAGTTTTCACAAATCAAGAAAGTAAGAAGTTTAAAGTTGTGTTGGTTTCTTAATTTCGAAGAAAATCAATGCATTCTTAAAATAAATGTAACTAATGAATTTATATGATCTAAAGTATGACTCATATATTAAATTAAAAAGGAGATTTCAAGCTTTAATTTGACGTATGATTCGTTTTTTAGTTCTCACAAATCAAGAAAGTAAGAAATTTTAAAGTTGGGTTGGTTTCTTAATTTCGAAGAAAATCAATGCATTCTTAAAATAATTGTATCTAATGAATTTATATGATCTAAAGTATGACTCATATATCAAATTAAAAAGGAGATTTCAAACTTTAATTTGACGTATGATTCATCTTTTAGTTCTCACAAATCAAGAATGTAAGAAGTTTTAAAGTTGGGTTGATTTCTTAATTTCGAAGAAAATCAATGCATTCTTAAAATAATTGTAACTAATGAATTTATATGATCTAAAGTATGACTCATATATCAAATTAAAAAAGAGATTTCAAGCTTTAATTTGACGTATGATTCGTTTTTTAATTCTCACAAATCAAGAATGTAAGAAGTTTTAAAGTTGGGTTGGTTTCTTAATTTCGAAGAAAATTAATGCATTCTTAAAATAATTGTATTTAATGAATTTATATGATCTAAAGTATGACTCATATATCAAATTAAAAAGGAGATTTCAAGCTTTAATTTGACGTATGATTCGTTCTTTAGTTTTCATAAATAAACATTATAAGAATTTTTAAAGTTTCGGTTCGGTTTAGATGTTTCTTAATTTCAAAGAAAAACAACATATTAAAATAATTGTAATTTATGAATTTATATAATCTCTTAATTGATTCATATATCAAATTAAAGAGGAGATTTCAAACTTTAATTTGATATATAACTCGCTGTTTAGTTCCTATAAATACGATGTTTATAACCTCACCAATTTGTATGAACGTCTAAAATTGTCAATATAAATTTTCATGGAACATTTTATTTCAATTTATGACAAAAATGAGCGTATTAAATCAAAATTAAAATTGTTGTATGTGTGGTTAACGGAAATAAATTGCATTCTCGCCGTTATCACCGCTGATATAAAGTGAATTACGCGTATTGTTGGGAAATAATCCAATAATTTTTCAAATATGTAGCTACCCATAAATTCGTTTTTATATCAGTGCATGCAGGGTTGGTGTATTTTAGGGATTCTTCTTAACTACATACGTCATTGTCACCCTGATGTTCCCCTATTTTTCTTTTATGCGAAAAAATGGGTGTTTATCCGGATAATATTCCACATTTTTCACCTTTTTTTTTTTCTCCTTTTATTGTTGTAATTTTTTACGAGTTTTGATAAATAATGAACTTTATTAGCGGTTATATCATAACAGCCATAGGGGTTTAATTAAACCCAAACTTTCCGAACATATCTCCCTCGATTAGCTAACTTCCGCTTGTTATTGTTACAGTTTAATTGCTATCGGTATGGATCGTGTAAAAAATGATTAAGCTTTTATGAATATAGAGCGGATTCGACACTGTCATGTTTCAATGGATTTACAAATGCAAACTCATACGCGAATGTCACGTCAATATCGATATTGCGACCGTTTTCCAACGAACTTATTTTCTTTGATAAGGCTAGAAAACCATTTCCTTTTTCCTTTTATATTCGGTCTCAACCAGAGATCCCATTTCGGATGTCACTTTTCTCTCGCTTCCGTCATTTTCTGATATCTACGCGCAAACGTTACCCCATGAGGGACTTAATATCGTCTTGTATGAGTTTGCGAGGACTGTTCACTGTACGCTGGTTAAATATAAGATAACCAAACGGAACGACACGCTTGGGGACTTCCTTGATGATGACGTCCCCGCGATCCCTCAGGACGTTGATTTAATTAACGTAGAGAGCACAGCATGGCGCTTTATAATCAGTATTGCGAATACCTTGATTATATCGATGAACTTGAGTTGTTGATCACGCACACTAATTTAATTTTCTAGTACACCTACGCGGAAAATGATGTCGCTTTTGTCACTGATTAATTAGTTAAATGAACTTCGAAATTTATTAACACCTCGATGAAGCTTTGATATATTCATTCCACTCCAATTGTATCTATATTTAGAACCCTAAATTTCTATATCTTCTAAAATAAAGGTTTGATTTTATTTTATTTTATTTTTAGAATGTCTACCATGTGGCAGAAATGAAGTCAGCGGTGATCCGACATTATGATCACTTATCAGGGAGAGGATGTTATCGATTTCTCAATCCAAAACACGCAGCAATTACTGCGGCAATATATGCCTTGGTAAACTTCATTTTTGAATTGAATGCATGTTAGCAATAAGCGCTTCCTATTGTGTTCCCAATTTGCTTGGTATTGTGTAGTCCGTCCCGTTAGCATTTCCTACTTGAAATTTTCCTCGTTACAATAGTGGCAGCCTGTTTGCTCTTAGCCGCTTCCCCTCTATCCAATTTGCGTCCGGAACTGGAATTATTGTCGGGTGGAAATTCGAAAAGAAATATGAAGGAGTCAACGAATTAATGAGCTGCGCGAAGTTGAATTGGTTCCCGGTTCTTCCGAAACTATATTACCATAAATTTCAATTACATGAGGCTTGGAGTGCGAAGATTTTTCTGGATGAGAAAAGGAATGTTATTAGGAGTCTGCGTAATATATTGTTGGCAGACAGGCACCTCGGGCTCTAATAACACATTTATCAGCATCAAGTTGTCGGGGGACGCTTAATCCACGTTAATAAAACATTTAACGCCGTTGTCAGTTGGTGCTGGGGCCACATTATGAATACGTCAGGAACGGTCTGGTTGAAATTGTAATTAACTCCACTTAATTCCTACTCGTATAAAGTTAATTTTTCATATCAAACCGACCTTTTCAGGTTTTACTTAAACTATACCTACTAAAATAATTATTTTTAATCTTACAGAACATCTCCATTTTAGTAGTTTTGATTTACAGTTGGAGAATTAGTGTTAATATGAAGAAAGTTATCAGTTTAGAAGATGTTTATTATGGTAAGAATTACAAATCATTAATTTTTATTTGTTCCTTAGTTTTTATACGAAATTTTTATCATGAAATCCCTATATTTCAACATTATAGCACAAAATAGATCCTTTTAATAAATAACTAGGAGTAATTTTTTTAAAATTTTTAATATTTTAGCATTTCCATCCATCAATTCTATTTTTTTAAGATCTTTTTATTATAAAACCCCAATATCTCAACAGTATATCATAAAATAGTTTCTTTTAGCTTCAATTTGAGATATAAATCGTTTCTGTATCTCAATAAATAAACTAGGAGTGATTATTTAAAATTTTCAATATTTTGCCATTTCCAACCATCAATTTTATGTTTTCTTTAGGATTCTTTTTCTGGAAATCTTTATTATAAAACCCCATTGAGGTCTTACATATAATCTAGAGTGCGTATGCTGTTGTCCCCACCACGCCTAAAATGAAGCCAGAAAGGTCGCCATGTTAGATGTACCAACTTAGCGGGAAATTTGAAATTCTTATATATACTTATGCAAGAATTTACATTATTATAAACTGGAAAGACAGAAAATAATAACCAAAACAAAACATTAATTTTTTATTGATAAATAATTATTAATTATATGATATTTTAAAAGAACTTAATAATTTTTAGCCATAACCCTTATAATTAACATAAACTAAGAAGAAAATATTTAAAGCAATTCTGATTGATCACGTTAACCTTTGCTTATAAATAATTGTTAGTTTATTTAAAAAAAACTGAACAGTCCTTAATAATAAACTTTACTTGAACTTCAATTGAAGACCTCGGTGCAAGAAGGGAGTAGCTCCATTTATCAAGAGAAGGAGTTGTCCCCTTCTTATACCGAGGTCTTCAATTGTTAATTCCAAGTCAAGTAACCAGAAACATTTTATGGACTGTTGTAAATAATCGTCCAACCTATCAAATTATAAAAAACATATGTGAAACGAAAAGAATTCGAAAACTTTCAACAAAAATCAAATTTTAATAAAAATAACAATATGTTTATGAGAATTGTGAGGTTATAATTGTAGGTACAATAGAGACTTGAAACTATAGCTAAGTTCAGGTCGGTACATCCAACATGTCTGACTTTCTGATTACCCCCACCACCACCATATACGCTCTCTAGATTATATATAAGACCTCAATGTAAAACCCCTATATCTCAACATTATATCACAAAATAGATCCTTTGAGCTTCAATTTGAGGTATAAATCATTTCTTTATCTCCATAAATAAGCTAGTAATGATTTTTTCAATATTTTGCCATTTTCAACCATCAATTTTATGTTTTCTCTACGTTCTTTTTCCGGAAATTTTTGTCATAAAATCTTTATATCTCAACATTCTATCACAAAATAGATACTTTTAGCTTCAATTTGAGATATAAATCGTTTCTTTATCTTAATAAATAAGCTAGAAGTGATTATTTAAAATTTTCAATATTTTACCATTTCCAACCATTAATTTTATCTTTTCTTTAGAAATCTTTTTGTGGAAATTTTTATCATAAAACCCCTATATCTCAACATTATATCACAAAATAGATCCTTTTAGCTTCAATTTGAGATATAAATCGTTTCTTTATCTCCATAAATAAGCTAGGAGTGATTTTTGAAATATTTTGCCATTTCCAACCATCAATTTTATGTTTTCTCAAAGTTTTCATTTTAGGAAATTTTTATCATAAAACCCCTATATCTCAACATTATATAACAAAATAGATCCTTTTAGGTTCGATTTGAGATATAAATCGTTTCTTTATCTTAATAAATAAAATAGGAGTGATTTTTTAAAATTTTTAATATTTTGGCATTTCCATCCATCAATTTTATTTTCTTTAAAATATTTTTACAAAAAATTTTTATTATAAAACCCCAATATCTCAACACTATATCACAAAATAGATTCTTTTAGCTTCAATTTGAGATATAAATCGTCTGTTTATCTCAATAAATAAGCTAGGAGTGATTATTTAAAATTTTCTATATTTTGGTATTTCAAACCATCAATTTTATGTTTTCTTTAGGATTTTTTTTCTGAAAATTTTTATCATATAACTCCTATATCTCAACATTATATCACAAAATAGATCTTTTTAGCGTCCATTTGAGATATAAATCGTTTCTTTATCCCCATAAATAAGCTAGGAGTGATTTTTTAAATATTTTTCCATTTTCAACCATCAATTTTATGTTGTCTCTAAGTTTCTTTTTAGGAAATTTTTATCATAAAACCCCTATATCTCAATATTATATAACAAAATAGATCCTTTTAGGTTCAATTTGAGATATAAATCGTTTCTTTATCTCAATAAATAAACTAGGAGTGATTTTTTAAGATTTTTAATATTTTGGCATCCATCAATTTTATTTTCTTTAAGATTTTTTTTTTTTAAGTTTTTATTATAAAACCCCAATATTTCAACATTACATCACAAAATAGATTCTTTTAACTTCAATTTGAGATATAAATCGTCTCTTTATCTCAATAAATAAGCTAGGACTGATTATTTAAAATTTTCAACATTTTGCATTTCCAACCATCAATTTTATAAATAAAGTAAAATACTTTTTCTGTTTGTACTTTTATTAAAAATGGATTTATTGTTTTAAATTCTACCGGTTTCGGTTTATTAACAAAACCATCTTCAGGAACCTTCGAATCTAGTCAATTTATTTTAAATGTCTCTTGTGATAATAATTAGCATGTTGATTTTCTAGTAAACGTTTTTATTTAAATGAATCTGTGTCTTTATTTTTAGGTGTAATGTGCGTTATGCTTAAACTTTCGGACTGGATTAGGTGTGCACATGTTTGTCTTTGTTTTAGGTTAAAATCTTTCTAACCTAAAACAAGTTTAAGCGTAACACACATTACATCTAAAAATAAAGACACAGATTCATTTAAATAAAAGCGTTTACTAGAAAATCAACATGCTTCGAAGATGCAAGATGATTCGAAGGTTTCTGAAGATGGTTTTGTAAATAAACCGAAACCGGTAGAATTTAAAACAATAAATCCATTTTTAATAAAAGTACAAACAGAAAAAGTATTTTACTTTATTTAAGAATAAAATGGAAAGAAATAATCATTACAACAACATCAATTTTATGCTTTCTTTAGGATTCATTTTCTGAAAATTTTTATCATATAACCTCTATATCTCAATATTATATCACAAAATGGATTCTTTTAGCTTCCATTTGAGATATAAATCGTGTCTTTATCCCCATAAATAAGCTAGGAGTGATTTTTTTTAATATTTTGCCATTTTCAACCATCAATTTTATGTTTTCTTTAGGATTCTTTTTCTGGAAATTTTTATCATAAAACCCCTATATCTCAACATTATATCACAAAATAGATTCTTTTAGCTTTCATTTGAGATATAAATCGTTTCTTTATCTCCATAAATAAGTTAAGAGTGATTTTTTAAATATTTTGCCAATTTCAACCATCAATTTTATGTTTTCTCTTAGTTTTTTTTTTCAGGAAATTTTTATAATAAAACCCCTATATCTCAACATTATATCACAAAATAAATCCTTCTAGCTTCAATTTGAGATATAAATCGTCTTTTTATCTCAATAAATAAACTATGAGTGATTTTTAAAATTTTCAATATTTTGTTGAATCAATTTTATGATTTCTTTAAGAAGTTTTTTCTGGAAATTTTTATTATAAAACTCCAATATCTCAACATTATATCACAAAATAGATCCTTTTAGCTTCAATTTGAGATCTAAATCATTTCTTTATCTCCATAAATAAGCTAGGAGTGATTTTTTAAATATTTTGTCATTTCCAACCATCAATTTTATGTTTTCTTTAGGATTCTTTTTCTGGAAATTTTTATCATAAAACCCCTATATCTCAACATTATATCACAAAATAGATTCTTTTAGCTTCCATTTGAGATATAAATCGTTTCTTTATCTCCATAAATAAGTTAAGAGTGATTTTTTAAATATTTTGCCAATTTCAACCATCAATTTTATGTTTTCTCTTAGTTTTTTTTTTCAGGAAATTTTTATAATAAAACCCCTATATCTCAACATTATATCACAAAATAAATCCTTCTAGCTTCAATTTGAGATATAAATCGTCTTTTTATCTCAATAAATAAACTATGAGTGATTTTTAAAATTTTCAATATTTTGTTGAATCAATTTTATGATTTCTTTAAGAAGTTTTTTCTGGAAATTTTTATTATAAAACTCCAATATCTCAACATTATATCACAAAATAGATCCTTTTAGCTTCAATTTGAGATCTAAATCATTTCTTTATCTCCATAAATAAGCTAGGAGTGATTTTTTAAATATTTTGTCATTTCCAACCATCAATTTTATGTTTTCTTTAGGATTCTTTTTCTGGAAATTTTTATCATAAAACCCCTATATCTCAACATTATATCACAAAATAGATTCTTTTAGCTTCCATTTGAGATATAAATCGTTTCTTTATCTCCATAAATAAGTTAAGAGTGATTTTTTAAATATTTTGCCAATTTCAACCATCAATTTTATGTTTTCTCTTAGTTTTTTTTTTCAGGAAATTTTTATAATAAAACCCCTATATCTCAACATTATATCACAAAATAAATCCTTCTAGCTTCAATTTGAGATATAAATCGTCTTTTTATCTCAATAAATAAACTATGAGTGATTTTTAAAATTTTCAATATTTTGTTGAATCAATTTTATGATTTCTTTAAGACTTTTTTTCTGAAAATTTTTATTATAAAACCACAATATCTCAACATTTTATCACAAAATAGATTCTTTTAGCATCAATTTGAGATATAAATCGTTTCTTTATCTCAAAAGATAATCTAGAAATGATTGTTTAAAATTTGTAATATTTTGACATATCAATTTTATGAAATTTTTATCATAAAACCCCTATATCTCAACATCATATCACAAAATAGATCGTTTTAGCGTCAATTTGAGACATAAATCATTTCTTTATCTTAATAAGTAAGAAAAAAAACTAATCACAACTAAAAAGAAGTGAAAAACAATAATAACATTTTTATTATAATACATATTTAATTTATTTACATATAATTATTTATTGAGAATTTAAAATTTCAATTTTTAAGAAAAATGTCACGTTCGAAGGATCACGTTAGATCAAGATGTTATCCCATCCCCTCATTTCGATGGAGGGTAAAGAAAACGGCACAGTTTGCATGAATATTGCCGATAAAATCTACGATAAAGAAGGATCATCCTTCGACTTCGCGGATTTTACCGCTCCATTGATCATCCCCTATCTGATAACCGCAATATAAACTAAGCTGATGGTTCTTGTGTATAAAAAGGAAAGTGCCAATTGATGTGGCGAAAAATAACCCAAAAAATAAAAGAATTTTTTTATAAAATTTATTTTTGGTGAGATTAGATTTATTTAGTTTTTTGTTACATTTATAAATGGGCCATAAATTCATTTGGGAGCACTTTTTTGTACAAGAAGAATCGATACCGTTAACAGTTTCGTTTTTTTCTCTCTTTTTAGGCGTACAGATAGCGTATTTTGCTATTATTGGGACGCAGCTTTTCATGTTGTTGCTGAGCATAGTACTTCTATTCGGAATTTATAAGGTAAGTGTGACCGCCATGGTCGTATATCTTATGTTAACGCGCGTCTGCGGTTCAAATAGTCATTTATTACCGGAAATTTATAAGCGGCGTCGTGGGGCGGTAAATCTTCGACATATAACCGATTTATTTTCGTTCAAGATTAATTGTTACCCTCCTTTAACGAAAATCTCTTTTTTTATTTCTCAAAACAAAAATTTAGACCTTCCATAAAGCAATTTCGACAATAAAACGTAATCGCCGTCGCTTAAAGCTTTGGACGTAGATATAAAAAGACGTCGAAAGCGTTTTCAGCCGACGTCCCTCGAGCTTAAGGCCTTTTAAGCTTCCGCTCTGACGGAGCAAATAAATACATCAACTTACTGCAATTGCCGGGAAACGGCAATTTAATCTTCCAGAAACGATTACATAACGTAAGCAAATATTTCTCGGGGCAACGCCGATTAATTTTCTCTCAATTTAAATCGCAAAAATCCACATCGAGGTCTCAATCAAAGATGAAAAGAAAAAAAAAAAAAGAATTCCCATAGCGTCAGACACGTGATATTCACTCTTTGAAAGGGTGCTCGTTTCCAGGTCACGAAATGCTACAAGATAAAAAGTATTCGATATTATTTTCAGCTTTTGCGATTGTTCGTTCAGGAAAAGCGAGGACCAGGACGATGTCGCATAGCGTCGTTGTGTTGTTCTTTTATCCCCTAAGCCCAAAGCTTTTACGGAAAACGTCTGCCGATACAACAAAGTGTTTGTCCAATCTGTAATCTGTGCGTCGTTGGACATCAACTAAATGGTTCTAGAAAAAATGATTATTCCATCAGAAAAGACGGTCAAATTGTGTTATCTTCCATGAAGGTAGACGAAAATTGTAACTGAAAGAGTTGTTTTTAATATTAATAATTTTTTTTTGTTACTTTAATAATAAGATTTCCAATTTTTTTCCCCAATTTAGTATCGGAATGAAAAACAAACAGTACCAACAAAAAAAAGTGTGGAAAGGAAATTAATCCGTCAAGAACAACATAAATTTTAATTTCCGTTCTCTGGAAAGTTGAAGTCGGCCATCGTTGTTAAAAGAAATGCTCCATCTACCACTCTCTTTCTCAGGCATGTTTCATATCTAAAGCTATTACGAAAATGAAATATTAATGTTGCTAATTGATAGAGGAAAGGAAAGGAAAATTTAGTTGGGAGAGAGTTTCTTTTTCCATTAAGAGTTCAAGTTGAATTGAAATTATTATATAGCGGGAGTTATGATAGTTTATAAAGCGATCGTTAACTAAAGTGTTAATGTTTACGTAAGCATTAGGATGATGTTTCCGGTAGGGTAGTGGAAATTTGCTTTTAGATGCACAGCTTCAATAACTTTGAACCCAAATTCCTAATATCAAAGACCGTTGACAGAATATATACGGTATTTATTAATTAGAAGTTTAAACTGAAACTACTCTAAACTATCTAACGGCTGGAAATCGTTTTCGCATAGTTTAATGAACATCTAGATCGAAGATATAATACAAAGGATGTTTTAATTTCGTTGGAACTTACATAATTTAATAATAATACATCTATGGTTTACAAAAAATATAAAGGTATCTAACAAGCCACAAGTTCACATCGGCATCTATTAATTTATTTTAATTATTTCATTTATCTACTCAGTCACAGTATCATAAAAGTAGGTAGATAAGTAAACACATACATAAATGCAAAAATACAAAATGATAATTTTACATCAAAATGCCATGGTGCAACTTCCAATCCGTAGATCAATGTAATAATTCGATTTTGGGCAACAAACACCAATCTGCAACTCTGGTCCATAAGAGGTTATTATATGCAAGATGAGAATAACACAGAGCATAATAAGCATTCAAAAGCGATTGCCCGTCCAAAGATGACTTTAGCTTAAGTATAGCGAAATATGTTGAATTTAACTTTAGTTAGACTGGCATCAACACACAGACCCAAGAAAATTGTTTCATCCTGAATGTTAATCCTATCACCGTAATTTAAGGGAAGCGCTTCATTACCTGATCAACTTTCTCGACCAATCCAGCAGGATCATCAGCAGCAACAACAAAGGAGGTGTCATCCACATACATCATTATATGTGTATACTCAAAAACACGCGGCAAGTCATTTACAAAAATTAAAAATAGTAATGGGCCTAAGATGGAACTCTGAGGCACACCGAGATTAAAACAAATGACTCCCCCGATGCCTTCCCGGAAAACACCACCTTCAAACTACCATTCGTGACAAATGAGACTAACCAGCTAAGTAGATATCCGCAAATTTCCACGTTATACAATTTTTCCTCAATGAAGACTGATTGTAAAAAATCAAATGTCCGGGTCAGGTCAAAGAAGATTCGCGAAATAATGAACGGTGGCAATTTCAGTCGATAGACCCTCGCGAAAAACATGCTGCGAAGGACACAAGACTCTCAAAAATTTTTGAAAACACACTACATACAGAAATAGGTCTGAAATTCTCGGTGCTATTTAAGTTTCCTTTTTTAAAAACAGGTGCAACTTTTGCCACCTTTAGTAATTTAGGAAACACCGCTATCAATCGACTGATGCAGAATACGAGCCAAAGGCTCGCCTAGAGAATTGTTCATAAACTTAACACATTCAACCCAAGCACCGTCACTTCCCACACTTTTAACATTTCTCAATCTTGAAATAGCTTCAAGAATCTCAGAATAGTACAGGCATTGGGTAGTTTTGCAAAGGAAAAGTTTTTCTTGGAAAAAAGTGCGTCCTTATGATAACCCTGAGTTTTCTTAGCCGTTTTAAGAGACGTACGGCTAAACCCGAATTTTCTAGTTCTAGGTGTAGTGTTAAGTTCTAGTTTTAGTGCAATACAAATATGCAATAGTAAGTGATATCTTATGCCAATTAGCGCTACATACCACTGTCACTAGAACTAATATTAGACCTAGAACTAGAAGCATTCGGGTTTAGCCGCACGTCTCTCAAGACGGCTAAACCCGAATGATTCTAGTTCTAGGTCTTGTGTCAGTTCTAGTGATAATGCTAGTGTAAAACTAGAACTAACACTCGGGTAACCCGAATTTTTCTAGTTCTAGTGTTAGTTCTAGTTTTAGTGCAATAAAAGTATGCAACATAGTGATATGTTGTCAACATAGTGTCTCTCAAGACTACTAAACCCGAATGATTCTAGTTCTAGGTCTAGTGTTAGTTCTAGTTTTACACTAATACTATCACTAGAACTAACACAAGATCTAGAACTAGAATCATTCGGGTTTAGCCGTCTTGAGAGACGTGCGGCTAAACCCGAATGTTTCTAGTTCTAGGTCTTGTGTTAGTTCTAGTGGCAGTGGTAGGTAGCGCTAGTTAGCCATAAGATATCACTATGTTACATACTTTTATTGCACTAAAACTAGAACTAACACTAGACAAATTCTCTCAAGACTGCTACGAAAAACTTTTAACTTATTTTGTCTTTGACAAGTAATTTTACAACGTTTCCAATCAATTCAAAGCATTTTGATACACAACAATCAACTTTATCTACTTGTTGTTATCTTTAAAGACATTCAA